GTAACGCCGCTCATGCTACCCGTCGGTTCTGAGGAGTGGCAACCTCAATTGGTGATTGTTCATCAATCTCCACTGGAAACTCAGCATCAGTAGCCTTCGCATCGCTCCCCTTCCAAGGGAACAGGAAGAACAACTCCACGACAAAGCACACCAAACCAATGCAACCAAAGAAAATGAAGGCAATTGACTGGCCCTTGTCCTGGTTACCAGACGGACCGCCAGAGATGCCGTTCGTCGCAATCGGGTAGCACACACTGATGACAAAAGTAAAAACAAGCATAAGAAGTATCATGAAGGAGGAACCCTTCGGACGGAACGATGGCGGGAACAGATCCTGAGCCAGTACGAAGAAGCACGGACCAAGGCCAAACTCAAACGCAGCAATGAACACAGCAATCCCAGTGATTGCAACACCGTTCTTCACGTTTGTTGATGCAACGTCAGGATACACAGGGACACCGCACAGGAACAAACATGCAACAGATCCCACAAGAGTGGTCGCAACAAACAGCTGACGCATCGTGAAGCATGAGGCAAGCGGGATTGCAACCAGTGCCGTCACAAAGTTCCACAGCATTATCACAAAGTTACCCACAAGAGGTTGCATCCCCAAGCTCCCCATGATAATCGGCGCATAATTCATCACAGCATTGTAACCAGTGAACTGCATCGCCACCGCAGCCACAGTCCCCATCACCAGAGGTCGGATCATCTGCATGAAGCTGTATTCATTTGGGTCAAGTGCATCTTCACCAGCTCCAGTTTCACCAACGAACTTGGTCTTGCTCTCCTTCAAGAAGATGCCAATAACAAGAACTATCACCGACAGCAACGTCGGAAAGGCACAGAAGCCCTGCATTCGATCAACCATTCTTGCATCCTTCTCAAAATTGATGCTTTGTCCGAGGGCCAACCCCATCAAAGCAGCAAACATGATACCGAATGCGCTGAACACCTGGAGCAGCACACCATCCATCTTGGAGTTCTTCGGGTGTGCGTTCTGGTCAACGTACACTGGGGCAACAACAGTTGCGAGACCCAGTACGAGACCAAGCAGAAAACGACCAGCGCACAGCACCCAGAACTGATTTACAGCGGTAGCAATGTGGCACATTACCGATCCAATAATACAAACGATGCCAATAACCAAAAATGACACCTTGTGCCCGAATCGTGATATGAACTTCCCAGCAAAAATGCATCCGAAAAATGCACTGACTACACCGGAACCAGCGAAGATCCCGAGGTAGGTCGAACTGTATCCAACCGGATTCTTACAAATCTTATCACTGTACACCCAGTGGCATCTGTCGTCTGCGAGGCACGCAGCCTCAGTGTTGTACGTGGCACTGCACGTGAAGTCCTTCCACCCGCATGTAGTTGTTGTGGTGTTCCATGCACATTGCGCATTTTTTACTGTGCTGCAGGCCGTATCTGATTTGTACAGTGAACAGTCTGTAGAGGTCAGATAGAAGTTGGCGTACACACCAACGAAGCCGATTGATAAGCCGGTTAAACCACCGCCAACCACCTGCACCTGTGCAACCTTCAGATTCTCCAGTGAGCAGAATGCAGGGGCCTCGTCTGATGTTACGGGTGCATCGTCAGGTCCTTTCTCCTCAATAGGGTACTCAACAGGAGCCGTCGTCATGTTTCTTCTCGGAGCCTTTTTTTTTTTGAGTGTGCTTTACTTTCGCTTGTCGCAGATAATATTATTGCGGTTAATATCTACGTAAAAAAAGAAATGAAATGACGCAAATGCGAGGGAGGGTAAAGGCAATGAAAAAAAAAAAAAATAAACGGAGAACCAATGAAAGAACAGAGCAAAACGGACGTAAAATATCGCAGAAAGATGGCGACCACACATCTGAGTATATTTATAAAACGAAAAAAAAAACATTCATTTTCATTTTGATTGTTGAAAAAAGTCGTGATTGTAATAAGGAATAGAGGTTTTTTTTTTTGTTTTTTTTTTCTTTTTTTTTAGTGTGTTTTTCGGAACGTCTGCGGAGCGGGGCTGTAGTTTTTTTGAAATGGAGGTTTTTCGCAGTGGTTGTCAATTGATATTGTTGATCATAATGAGTAAAAATAAAGACTACCTTAAAACTATAATCAATGTAAACCTTAGGTGTCTATTAAACTACGTTTTGGTTGAAAATTTCTTTTAAAGAGGAAGAGTGAGAGAATAAGGTTTGATTTTGATTTTGTTAGGGATAGAGGGAAAATGTAAAGTGAAACAATTGTAATTAAAGTATTATAATGCAGGAATATACCAGATTTAAGTTATAAAAAAAAAGTATACTTAGTGAAATGATAAAGAGAATGCTTGTGTAACCACTTTAAGAGAGAAACATCTTGCTTTTTTTTTTAATTTGCGAGTTGACCAAGTAGCATTTCAAGAGCTTTTGTACGTTCTCCAAAATCCCTTATAGCAACGCACGAACACTTGAAGGTCTTTACACTACCGTCTCCTTTTGTCTTTTGAAGACCGGCCCATTCTGCAAGCTCCTCACGTGATTCGACCTCCACAAAGTCAATGTTTCCCTGGGTGGCCAATGCCTTGATGAGCTTCTTATACTCCTCATCCTCGCAGTCAGCTGCGAGAAGGCACATGTGTGCTGTGCGGCGGTAGAGAGCGCGGGCAACCTCGGAGAGACCACGGACAAGTCCGTTTACCTCCAGTGATTTGCGCACGACGATGCGAATAGCATCCTTAAGGGTTTCAGGCTCTGCATCCACCATCCTGGCGATGGGGGTTTCTTCCACCTGCTTCTCGACCTGGATCTCGTCTGCCATCTGATGAGTAAGTGTGTATGTGCGCTCTCTCACTTGGTGGGTATCACTAATGTAACATAGATGGTAGTATGAGAAAAGATATAGAGTGGGAATGGAAGTGGAAGGAGAGGGAAGAAGTGGTATTGCAGAACCGTACAAGTTTCGTGTACAACTAGAGAAAAACAGAAAACAAAGTCATGTAAATTAGAAGAGCATTATAAAAACACAAAGAAAAAGAAAAGAAAAGAAAAGAAAAAGAAAAAAAAGAAGAAAAAACCAAAATATCCTGTGGTTTTCCAAGTAAGAAAGCTTTATGAAAAGTGGGTATTTGTAACACTTTTATAGAATGTTGCATACCGATGAACTCAATTTCATCCTTCTTTCTTGCATGTTTCTTCATACAGAGTTTTTGTTTTTCTTTTTCTTTTTCTTTTTCCTTTTCTCTTTTAGTCCTTCCTTTTCTCAGAAGCAACCTTCACCATTTCACCACTTCACCAAAAAGGACACCATCCAGAGTACTGAACACACAAGTTTTCATTTGAAGTGGCTTCCTCAATCAGTCTCGAAACCTGCTCCTCCACTGTGAAACCTTCATCGTCACGACTTTGTCGAACTTGGGGAAAGTCGAACCCCTCTAATTTTTCCTTTATGCGATTCACAACACTTTTAGCCTTTCGAGTCTGCTGGAGTGCAGCCTCATCTCCTTGGTTATCCTCACATTGGGTACCCGCACGACGCTGCACGGACCGTTGAGTTGCCTGAAGACTCCCCACACTGTAATCTTCGTCTGTGGTTCGTAATGATCCTCTCACCGAATTTGGCCCTGCAGAGGTTTCATCCACATTTCCGTTTACACCACTTTGCACCTCATCACACCACCAAGAAACCAGCGGATCGTGAACAAATGCCTCCAAGAGTGCCAGTAAACTACTTCCCTCTTCACGCAAAACGCTCATCACTTTGATACATCCATGACGAAAAAGACCCTCTATACCCCCCATCTCCATAGCCCTAACAAGCATCCGCGTAAGGCGGAAGGGTACCTTTTCAGGGAAAGTGCTTCTATTTTGTGCAACTTCAAAGCAGTCACCAAAGTCAATATGAACTACCCTACCACTGAATGCATGAATCATAAGATTTGATGGATGACGATCACCCAGTCCTAAAATATGACCTACCATTGACATAGTAGCTAGAGAACAAACATATGTTGTTCGTCTTTCCAGCCATGTTTCTGCACTAGGAGCCTTCATCCATAAGGAACGAACAAGATCTGCACCTTCAGTATTCTCTAATGCAAACTCAAAAGGTTCTACATGCTGAATAACCGTAAGATGATGCAAATCATCATACATACTTCGCATAAGGTTAAGTTCTGTGCTTAGATATTTAGAATGAACCCGATACTCTTTGATAATTTGATGTAAAGTGTCACAATGATCTACCCATCCTACAAGACCAGCATTATCACTAAGTGGTGTAACAGAATAGTTTTGAATAAGACATTCATAACGTTTTGTTACTGAGTGTTTCTCTAAAATAGTATTTGCAAAACCTAGTAACTGCATTACTCGTTCATCTAAACGGAGGTCTTCATGACCTTTTAATAAAAACTTGTATAAAACTCCATCTGAGCCATTAATAAAAATACGTCTCGGACGCTGTTTTGAATTCATTACTTTTAATACGCTTTGGAAGTAAGCGATTCCTGGATAGTTTCCATTTTCCTTGTATTGTCCAGGTACAACTAGGGATAAATCTTTCCCATTTTGCAACAATCGCGGGCTTACCAATTGTAAAGCTAGTGATGACATACCTTTAATCTGTTCTCCCATCCTCTTAGCTCCTGCTCGGAACCTACTCCATGCTTCTTCCATATAACTTTCTCGTCCCGATGATATAGCTTTTTCAACACAGTCAAAAGCTTCTCCAAGAAGTTCTCCAAATTCATCTGAAAAGTGTGATTCTGCCATAGTTTCTGGGGTTTCTAATTGTGTCAGTAAAGGTCTTAATGAAAGAATAACATTACGTGCATCTTTGTCTTTTTCCCATTGAAACCATGCCTTTTCTAGTTCATCTATCCACAATTCTGGCCATAATACAGCGCATCTTACTAGTTCTCTACAAGCTAGGGCAGCATCATGAACCATTGCCTTCCCATTGTGATGAGATTCTGTAATTCGTGCAAGTACACGCTGAGTTCCTTTTTGTCGTTCAACATTTTCACCAGAATTCTTTCCTTGATGACTTGTATTGGCAACATTCAAACTATATAGAATAGCCTGTGGGTGAGCTTTTGCTATAATAAATAATAGAAGACAGACTGATTCCGCTACAGGTGTATCACGAGAGTAGATACGAGCAATAATTTGAGGTATTACTTTAAGCCACACGGTTGGGTTAACTTGTTGAATTCCAGTCTTGATACTAGAATTTCCTTGTATAGTTGGTACTGAACCATAGGCAAACCAAAGTGAGAGAAATCCAAGAGTGTCTTCTAATTCCTGAGAAAGAAATACACTTCGAAGGTATCCATTAATAGCACATAAAATATTTTCAATATCAGGGGTAGATTTTCCAGGTAAAACTTTCATAGCATCTTCATGATGTAAACGAGCCCAAGTATGCCAAATGGTTCCATTTTTGCTATCTAACTCTGTAGCACAATGTAAATGACGCATAATATTTTGCCATGATTTCATTGAATACTGAGTTTTCTTACGATGAGCCAACCACTCCGCTAGTTTGGCATGACAAAGAGCTAAATCTTCTCGATCACGATTAACAAGCTGCATATTTACTTGTTCAATTTTTTCAACATACTGTTCTAACAATTCAATAGCTCGTTCTTTTTGATTTGTTTCATAGAGATGCTGAAAAGCTCCTAAAGCAATTGCAGGTTGTGGAATTTTATTTTCAATTGCAGATTCAATAGATTGATTCCCTAAAAGTTCACATAAAACTTCATCTGAAACACGTTCTCGACCATTTGTTCGACTAAGGCTAACAAAACGAAGCCACATATCCAATTCCTGTGAAGGTGGAATCATTAATGTATGATCAGCTAACGTACCAGGCCATCCATCATATGCCATTGTCTGGAGTCGTTTTTCCCACAACTCTTGCCAATGACTAACACTTTGTGGATTACGTGCCGCCAGTGAAAGTTCTTCCAGTTCACTAAGTTGTTGTATACCAATAAAAAGACCATAGGCTCGATCATAACTTTCAGCCACAAGAGCTGAAAATACAGAATCTAAGCGTTTACGGCATAATTTAATAAGTCTATCGGCTTCACGAGAATCTTTCTTCCATGTTGCAAGTACTGCCTTGTAGAAAACCGCAGTTGTTCCAATGTATCCTTCTTCCGTCATAAAAGTAGTAATTTGTTCCATATCCTCCCAACGTCTCATAAGCCACGCAGCATGAGCCCCCATAGGAGCTAATTCACTAACATCTTTTTTGCTTACTCGTGAAATAAATATTTTCCACATATCAAGTACTTGAGGATAACATCCCAAGGCATCTAATGCTTTCATTAACCCTACCATATTAGAAACTTCATTTGGTTCCTGTTGAAGACGTCTTTCATATGCCATACGACTTTGTGACCACCATTGTAATTTGTCAAAGAGTTGGGCATCCATCATTTGAGAAAGTTCTGTTACTTTTTGTCCTGTAAGCATTGAAAAGTTTTGTTGAATAAATTTTAATACTCCATTAGCACTTTCTCGTTGTCCTAAAAGACTACATAAATAAATACTTTTTTCACAAAGATGTAAAAGACTTTTTCGTGTCTCATTAGGAAGCTGTTTAGGAATTCCACGAAGTACACTACGTTCATAGTCTCTAATGGTTTCAAAAAATTCAATTTCCACGTAATGAAGAGCCTTAGAGTATAAATTACATTTTTCACTACTTTCCATTAATGTTGAAAGGTCAAAAAGTCTCAAATTAGAAGAATTTATTCCATCTTCTTTACCATGTGCTCTAAGACGAATTTCAAGACGTTCCATATACTCTGATAAGTTTAAAAGTTCCTGTAATACTTCCGATGGTACCCGTGGTCCACGTAGAACTTTATTTAACAAAACAACAACTTCACGTCTGGTATTCTCATCCACTTTAGCATAACAAGTAGCAAATGCAGAGTGTAACATCTGTCGTGCAAAAGGTTCATGTAACTCAGCAAGAGCTAATGCACATCGATGCGAAGGTGAAGGACTTGATCGCAGTAAACTGACTGCAAGTCGTAGTAGCCAGTGATTCCAATCTTCTTCATTTGATCCGTCCAGTTTTGGTAAGGTAATATGCAAACGAACAACAGCATCAGAAGCACCAAAAGAACCATTCCAATCAAACTCTGTAGTATTATTATTATTATTATTATTATTATTATTAGTAGTAGTAGTAGTAGTAGTAGTAGTAGTAGTATTAGTATTAGTATTAGTATTAGTATTATTATTATTATTATTATTATTATTATTATTATTATTATCAAGATGAGAAAGAGAAGATCGTATTGCACTATTATCATTCTGATATCCACATACCTCTGGATGTTTCCTCATGCTAATAATTTCCCATAAAATACTACAGAATTGCTTATACTTATCACCCATTCCTCCATAGTAACTAGCCACAACAGGAAAAACCATTGGGGTGTACATTTCAAATCGTTTTCCTAAATTTTGGGCAATAGCACAAAGAGCTGTTAAAGCAATATCACCAAGGGAATCTTCATTTTCTAACTTAATACCATCTTTTTCTTTCAAAACACGACAAAGACAGTGAATACAGCGAGAGGCATGAGAATTAAGATTAGAAAGTTGTTTTGCGAAACTTATAAGTGTAGATATAGCGTCTTTCCTAGATGTAACTGAAAATGAAGTGTTTACAATAACATTACACACTACTGGTAAAACATTGTGTAAATGATCCTCCAAAAGTGATCCCATCGCAGCGAAAAAATCAAAAACTTTTTCACTCGTTGCTTGTGGATTCTCTTCCACAACATTTAAAATTGGAACAAGAAGAGAGGACAAGTATGGTCTAAATTCTTCTCGAATAGATCTTCTTATCTGTTTTAGTAAAGCAAGAACTTCAGTAAGAACAGAGATATCAGAAGTCGATATAAAAGTTGCAACGGTTGAAGTGAGCTCATCAAGATGTGGTCGTACATAATCCTTTATATGAGAAACAAGTGAAGTAAGTAACTTCAAGATTTCCTCACGTTTTCGTACTTGTATACGTACTTGTTTTAAGATTGATGAAATGATACTAGCATAACTTGTCACAAGACAATTAGGCGAGAGTTCCTTTAATGAAAGAATGTTTACAACAACTCGTACTGCACGTACACTCTGATCATCTGTTAAAGAAGGTAAAGAAAGAATATGTAATACGTTATTTACAACTGTCTGAGCAATTGAATCTTCTCCACGAAATCCAAAAAATGGCATTACTTCTTTACCAATATCACTAACTCTTGATTTACGATGAATCTCTTTTACTCGAATAGGATCAACAGCACCAATAATTCCCATAAGTTGGAGAACATCATTTCGAACAGGCCAGGCTTCTTTAAAACCACCATGAAGAGCTTGAAGAAGTACAGAAAGAAGTTCTGGATGATCTTCAAAAACGTTAACATCTCTAGTGGCTCGAACAATATCCCCAAGTGTTCGCAAAGCTTCTCGTTTTTTTGGTAAATGGGATGAATCTAAAATGTGTTGTACAACGGTTGGACGTATACTAGCGGCAACACGAACATCATCCCCTTCTGCATATCGAACAAGTTTTCCAACACATGAGAGAAGTGCCGTTAACACAGCCGGTTGTTGTGAGGATTCATGTAATCGCACAACACAACTCTTAAGTAGAGATGATACGTATGGTTTACCCAATCCAGGTGCAGATTCTATAATAGCTCCTAAAATAGAAAAGGCTTGTTCTTGTTTTTTAGGGTGTTCAAAGAATTGGATCTCCGTTACACATTGGACCATAATTTTTCTCATCATGGGATATATATGAGCAGGATTCCTACGAGAGACACGACCTAACAGTCGTGCAACGGCTAATCGATTCTGATGTTTATCATATAAAGCTGGAAATAAAGAACTCACAACTTCTTGAAGGGCTAATGTGTGATCTAATTCTTCTGTAAAACTTTCCAATGTATGTAAACGTATATCACTTTCTGGATCTGAAACAGCAGCGTTTACAAGTTTTTCTATTACGGTATTAATAAGTCGTGTATGATCACGACCATGATGAAGTACAACACCCTCTTGTGTCCACTTACACGGTGATTGTGGACCCATACAACCAGAAAGAACAAGTTTAAAGCAAAGATTAATTGCCGCTCGACGTAATTCCTCATGTGGAAAAGAAACATAACGAATAACGGCATCGCAAAGAAATGGTAGAGTAGAGTATCCCCTAAAATCCAATGTACTTAAAGCTCTTAAACTTTGTAAAGGAAATCCCGCTTCCGCATCATACTCACTTACACCATGGGAAAGACGATGATAAGTGTGAAGTAATTGTGCCTTTGTGGATTCCAACATTTTTGAAAGACATGTTGATCGTAATTCTGGAAAAGCCGCACATATCCGTGCAATATCTTTTGCAAATCCAACTGTAGGTGGACCAGAGAAAAGAGAAGCTAAAATTTGTCGAAGATATGGCCGTACGGCGGCAGGATTTACTTCTGCAAAGGTGGCAAAGCATGTTACAGCTTCTAAACAACGATCACCTTTATTATTTCTAGTAAGTCCTTCTTCAATATAAGGCATCATATGATCTAAAAATATTTTAACATGATCTTTTAATATTGCTGAAAGTTTTCCAACTCCTAAAAACATCATAGCCTTCTCATCATAACTTGATGTCGATCGAAATACAACAGATGCGGTTGCCAAAACTTCTCGAATGGAACGTTCTTTAAAAGTTATAGGATCATATGCTGCGAGTAGAATAAGGGAATCCATAAGTTCTCGCCTAATATCAGGAGGAGTATTCGGTTCGGATATATGTATATTCACAAATTGCCAAATTTCATTTATACAACGCAAAGAAGAAGAGGAAAGGGATACTCTAGGACCATAGGATGCTGATTCCCTTGTAATAGAAGTAAGTATAGCATTAAAACATTTTATTCCTCCATGTTGTTCTTCTCTTTTTTTAGAGTCTAATATTCGTAAAGAATCTGTCAAGAAAAACTCTTGACATTTTTTAATATTATTTGCATCTCCAGATGTATTCATTACGGAAAGTGCATGTTGTAAAGCGTCTGCAGCACTTTCCCGTACACGTTCTGATGGATCATGCAACACCATATGAAGTCTCTCAATAACAATATCTGAATACGGTACAAAAGCTGATGGTGTGTGTATTAAAAGTTGATGGAGAAATAAACAAGAGGAAACCTTATCCACCGTACTTTTTCCTTCTTTAAGGTCGCTAATGCAACTTTTAAGACGCAAATCAGCAGTTCTCTCTGCAAAACTACCACTATTCTTAAGAAGAAGACCCCATACTTCAGCTGCCTTTTCAGATACCACATGATCGTTTGCTTTTACTGAACTTTCCAACAACTCTAGAAAAAATTGAGTTGATCCATTAGCCGCCATGTATTCAACATCCAGTAAGGCCTTCGCACATAGAACTCCTGCGAGTTGAGTAGAAGATTTACTAAATAATTCCTTTACTTGGGCGTTAATCCAGTTAGGAACTCCTGCATTGGATGCCCCATATTGATTACCTCCACCGCCTCGAAAGAAATTATAACCCTCGTCTTCAATGATGTATTTCAGTTTTAATATAACAGACTGAAGTGTGGCAACTGTGCTCGATTGTAGCTCGCTGAAAATAGGCTGTAACTGACCAATTAATGGATGAGCACAGTTTTCCATGTTTCTTCGCCCTATCCTAATGACATAAACTACAGCAGAAAAAGAACAAAAAAAAAATATATAAAAATATAATATACACAAACATGTATATATACAAATACAGATTATATATATATATATATATATATATATATATATATA